ACCTTGATTGCAGTCTTGTGAGACCCTGCACAGAGGACCCTGGTAAGCCACACCTGGACTGCTGATCCGCAGAGGGTATGAGATACAAATGTATGTTGTTTAAAACTACATTTTCGGTACAGTTGACCTTTGAACAACTGAGGGAATAGGGTCACTGATTCCATGTATAACCTTTGACTACCCCCAAACTTAACTACTAATAGCCTATTGTATATAAAATGGATTAATTAATTCAGATGCAATGAAGAGTAGAAAAGAAATCGGAGGGTTATAATGTCCAACAGAGCAAAGAGAGCAGGCAGAAGGTAAGTTATCTGCTCTTTTGGTCCCTACCAGGGTTGACACCTGCCAGTTGGTGGATCAGGTAAAGCTGATAGGGGTGCTTTGAAGGGGCAAAGGCTTCCCATCTCCTTTCTCAGAATTGCTTGGGTCTTGGCTCCTTAGCTCCTCTCAGATCCAGGCATTTCTCTCTGGTCCAGACTGAGGCCAGTTAGTTCAGTTGTTTAGAACATGGTGCTAATAACACTGAGGTTGTGGGTTTGATCTTTCTACAGGCCACTATACAACTTTTTTTCTTTTCTATTTCTGTCTACCACATCACTTGTGGAATCTGCTGCCTTACATCCAATTACAAACACTGTATATTTATTGAAAAAAGTCTGTACATAAGTGAATCTGTACAGTTCAAACCTGTGTTGTTCAAAGGTCAACTGCTGTATTAGAAAACTAATATGAATGTGGATAAAAACATAATATTGATAGACTTGCCAGAGACATACAAGAGACATACAATCTGTATGATGCCATTTACAGAAAGCTTACAAACATACAAACCAATTCTATCTACTGTTTAGGTTTACTTATAAAGACACGCACTGGAATGATAGCCCTGATTTCAGGAAAGTGTTTCTGTCTTGAAGGGAGGGGACTACAATCAAGGAGGCATATGCAGAAACTTTAACATTGTTTATCATGTTTAATTTCCTAAGTAGGGTAGAGAGACAAGAGTATTGATACCACTCCTCTCTATACCTTTTTTTATATCTGTGACATCCCTTGATTTTTTAAAAAGTCTGTTTTCAACTTTAGACTCCAGTAGGGATGACAGTGTTGACAACGAATTTTGCCTGCTTTACATTTTCCAAATGTGTAATTGGCAAGAGTGGGCTGGAGAAACAAGAACCTGTAAGGCTGGGCAGGAGATGGATTTGGGATGTTAGATATGCGAGGAGATGGGAGGAGAGAGGGCCAGCGGATGGCCGTCTGCAGAGGCAGCCTGTGGGAGCGCTGTCCCTCAGTTGCTCAGGGAGCCACCCATAGATTCATCTTCTAGAGACCACAGATGGCCTCAAATGAGTGACCTCAGAAGTTCCACAAGAAGACCTTTTCATTACTTGTGGCTATGCCTTTGCATGCAATGGAATACTTACCACAGGGCAGCCTTGCTGTAATCCTACACTATGAGAAAACAACAATTTAAAAAAGCCAGAAGGTTGGCAGTTAGGCTATTAGGAAGAATCAAAGTTATGTTAAAAAAAAAAAAAAAAGCAGCAGCCTGAACAGCCTGGCATTAAGAGGAAAACTGGAGATGGGAGGCTATGACTCAGCTTGTAAAGAAATTGATTAGATTTTCCTGTAATTTTTTAGCAGCTGGTCATCTTTAGGGAGGAACAGTGGGGTCTTTCTTCTCTTTGATCTGCAGCCGTGAAGTTTGGGAGATGTTATGATACCTTGGTTGTATAAAGGAATCTCTAATCTCCGGAATGACCAGGAGAGGAATTTCTAATGATGTGCTGGTAACATTAAACAGCTGGCTCTCCAGAGTGAAAAAGGTCTTTGCTAATTTCCATGGCATAAATACTCTCCCAATGGCTGATTTGTAAACCACCAATGTGATGCCACTGGGCATGAAGCTGAGAGGAGTTAGGCGCATAAGCGTCTTTCAAAAACCCATACATGCTACGTTCAACATACAACTGACATTTCCTTCCTACCAGTGTTGGAGGTCTCAGCCATAGGGAGGAAACTCCCAGATCTGTGGTCTTTCCTGGCTCCCTCTCAATCCAAAGATGTTGAGATTTCATCATTCCACTCAGAATGTAAAAGCCCTTCCTTCATAGCCAGACATTTTTAGAGGATAAGAATATATAAATGCATTAATACCAAAACTCTATTCCTTCTGTAGAAAAGCAATGGAGATGAGTTGTCCTCCCTGAAGAAACCAGGGACTCAGGGTTGGGAATTGATTTGAATATGTGTTACAATACTTTCCCCACCATCATCAGCCTAGAGGGAAGGTTGCCTTGCAGATCTCAGGGAAGCTTCATCTGGGGCTAAGTTTGGAAAGTCCCCTTAATGAATTTCAAATTTTATAGTCCCCTTAAAGTTTTACCTTCTAAGGGCATTTCCTGTGAAGTCAAGAGGTGTGTACTGGTTAGAATGGTTTCAGTACAAGTAGGAAAGCACTCTGACCAGGAAGAAATATATTATCACAGATAATGAGAAGTCCCAGGGGAGGAAAGTGCCAAGGTTAGTTAATTCAGAGGTTTAAGAACATCATTAAGGACCCAGATTCTTCCCATATTTCTGCTCTGTCATCCTTTTTCCTGTTTAGCAATGCTGCTGGTTATAAGATGACTGGCATATTCCAGGAAAGCATGGCAACAGCCATTGGAAAGGGAAAGAACAATTCTTCTGATATAAGAAAACTTTTCCAGAAGCCCCATTTGGTAGAAGTGGGTCAAAAATCCTTTCATGAATCAACCATGTGAAAGAAACTGGGATTACTATGATTAACTTAGAATAAATCAGGATTTAACCATGAGGAACGTGGAGGAGAGGTAAACACCCAGACAAAATTGTAGTCTTGCTTTGTAGGTAAATGTCATCCCAGTGATTCTTCCCTTATTCCAATACTAAGATTGTTGACTGTTCGGGTCAGTTTGGTCCTTTTGGCTGATCAGAGAAATCCCCTTGAATCATCTCAGTCAGCTTGTTCAGAAACAAGTTATGTATGTTTACTAAATTGATTAACCTCAAGATCAATTTATCAAAAAGAACTGTTAATGACCTAGTAGGTACCTGGCACTTAAAAGTCGCAACTATTAGGCACTGGACCCTTTGGTGTATAGATATGGACAATTGGGCATAGAGCTCCGAATCAACTGACAGAATAAAAATTTCTTCCAGGTGATTAGAGAGAAATACTTAAAAAAAAGTACATGACTGTGATTTTCAAGGAGGGATGCCAAGACAATTCAATGGGGGAAAGAATAGTCTTTCTAATAAATGGTGCTGGAACACCTGGATATCCAGGTGCAAATGAAGTTGGAGTTAGACCCTTACCTAATACCATACACAAAAATTCACTCAAAATTGATCATTGACCTAAATGTAAGGGTTAAAACTATGAAAATCTTAGAAGAAAACTTGTAAACCTCATGACCTTGGATTAGTCAGTGGTTTCTTGAAGCACAGCAGCAAATGGAAGAAAAATAAATAGGACTTCATTAAAATTAAAAATTTTTGTGCTTCAAAGGAAGCTATCAAGAAAGTGAAAAGGTAATCTAAAGAAGGGAAGAAAATATTCACAAATTATGTATTCATTAAGAGTCTCTAGTATCCAAAATATATAAAGAGCTCCCTACAACTCAACAATAAAAATATAAATAATCCAGTTAAGAAGTGGGCAAAAGATTTGAACAAACATTTCTCTAAAGAACACATACAAATGGGCAATAAGCACATGAAAAGATGTTCTGCATCATTAATCATTAATGAAATGTAAATCAAAGCTTCAAGATATTACTTCATACCCACAATGACTATAATAAAAAAGATAGACAATAACAAGTATTGGAGAAGATATGTAGAAATTGGAACACATATATTGCTGGAGGGAATGTAAAATGGTGTAGCCATTTTGGAAACCATTTGACAGTTTCTCAAAAAGTTAAATGTAAAGTTATACGGCTCAACAATCAATTCCACTGCTAGATTAATACCAGGAGAAATGAAAACATATACACACACAAAAGCTCATTCACAAATGTTCATAGCAGCATGAGTCATAATAGTCAAAAAGTAGAAACAACCCAAGTTTCCATCAACAGATGAATGGATGAACAAAATATGGTATATCCAAATGATGGACTATTATTTAGCTATGAAAAGGAATGAAGTACAGTTGGCCCTTGAACAACACAGGTTTGAATTGTGTGGGTCAACTTATACATGGATCTTTTTTAATGAATATATTGGAAAATTTGTTGGAGATGTAGGAGAATTTGAAAAAGCAGATGAACTGTGTAGCCTAAAAGTTAAAAAAATTAAGAAAAATTTAGGTATGTCATAAATGCATGACATATATGTAGATAGTAGTCTGGTCTATCATAAAATCAGCAGTAAGCTATTAGTAAAATTTTGGGGGAGTCAAAAGTTATATGTGGGTTTTCAGCAGCACAGTGTTTGGCACCCCACCCCCTGCATTGTTCCTGGGCCAACTGTACTGATACAACCTACATGGATGAACCTTAAAACAATCATGTTAAGTGAAAGAAGCTAGTCACAAAAGGTCATGTATTGTATGATTCCATTTATATGAAATATCCAGAATAGGCAAATTCATAGACACAAGTAGGTTAGTGGTTATCTCAGGCTGGTGGGAGGGGAAATGGACAGTTACTATTCATGGGTGTGAGATTTGTTCTTGGGGTGATGGAAGTGTTCTAAAAAAAAATGAGGGTGATTAAGAAAAAACCTTGTGAATATGCTAAGAACCACTGAATTGTACAGTTTAAGAGGATAAGTTCTATTATATGTGAAATATACTACAATAAAAACAGTTATATGACTATTTCAGGCCTTTGGGAGGGGGAAGGACAAAAATAATAATAATTAGTGGGCTAATAAATGTTTAGTTTTCAAAATTTATAAAACTCTTTCATGATCTGAAATTTATACTTCTATTTTTTCTTGTCCTATCTCTTTGATCCAGATGACTTATTATGCAGATCCACGGTTATCACCTCTGGCTACACAGTTTAGAATCATCATGAGAGCTTTCAGAAAATAGGATGCCTTGGCCTGACTCATGGCCAATTAAGTCAGAGTCTCTGGTTTGCCTCCCTGCAACTCTGAAATCTTATTTTTTGAACTCCCAGATGATTCCCATGTACTGTGAAGACTGGAAAATTAGAGTAGATCAAGATCTGGGCATCATGAGGTCATATTATAAGGTGAGTTTTTAGGTAAATATTTTTCCCCCTTGTGTCAGTTTTATTGAGATATTATTAATATGCATTAAAATTTACCTTTTTAAAGTATATAGTTCAGTGAGTTTTGGCAAATGTATACAGTCCCATGACAATCACCGCAGTTGAGATACAGAACATTTCCATTTCTCCCCCGAATGCCTTTGTGCCCCCTGGTAGTCAAACCCTTCCCCCACCTATTAGTGCACATCCTAGAATACTATCCAACATTAAAAAACAAGGTTTTGAAAATACATATAAGAAAATGGAAAAAAAATTATGATGTAAAGAGCAAAGAGCAGAAAAAATTCTATATAATCTTAATTGTTTAATCTTTTTTTATATATGTGCACAGATACATCTCTCCTTATATGTATATATTTATTAAAAAACCTGTGGTTATCTTTGGTTGTGGGAATTATAGGAAATGTTCATTTTCTTCTCTGTATATTTCTGCATGTTTTAGTTAGTCTACAGTAATAAGTTACTTTTATATGAAAATTATAGTGGCATCACAAATTAGCCATCTATGGGTCAGGAATGCATGCAAAGCCCTTTAAAGACCAAACTACCATCTCCTCCATGGTTCCAAGCCCCTAGCTGCAAATCTAGTCTTCTGGCCCCACGCATTTCTGGTCATTGGCTCACAGCAACTGTTACTGCCGAATGAGATTAACAGTACACTAACTTCTACTGAGATGGATATCAACAAATATTGACCCAAGAGGAGAAAATATAGATGAAAGAAGAATCAAGATTTTCATTGCCTTGAAGGGTATAATAAACTTTCCTCCTCGATAAATGCCATATTCTGTTGTCTAGTTTTGCAGGCACTTACACATTTGAAGTCAAAGACGGTACAACCCTGGAAGCACTATTAGAGAATCCACCACAGAATCTACCCCAAATGGAAGGTGACCATATGTGTATAGAATATGCATAACGCGTAGCAGAGCAAGAGAGCTGAGACAAGATCTTGACCGTGCAGGTCTGTTCAGGTTGGTTTCATTTCATTTAGATTCAGCAGAATCCTAATTGAAGATACTAACACATACCTTCCAGTTAGCTCAAAAAGACCCACACCAGCTGCGACCAGCTCCAGATCTCAGACACAGCGGATTAAGGCTCCCTCAGAGACAGCTCATTGGTCTGTTGGGTTTAGGTAATTTCTTGGGACAAATAAAATTGGAGATGACTGCAGTTGGAATGCTTTTCCTACATTTTTCTCGAAACATGTTGGTTGAACCCGCATTTGGACCAGCAGCTTTGTTTTTTTCTAGGTCGTTCTGGAATGGGTTATACTATTTCGATGACATAACGGATTGAAATTAGTTTCCAGCTAAATTATTCCTTTAGTTTGGGTATAGGCTCTGTATCATTTTTCCATTTGTTGCATAGCAAACCTCTCCAAAATACAGTGACTTACAATAGTTACTTATTTGCTCATAATTCTGTGGGTTGTCAGTTTGGATGAGGCTGGGCTGGGCTGGGCTGGGCTGGCCCACATAATATTGGCATGTGTTCGGGGCCTGAGCTAGGATGGCCAGGCCTCCGTCCCCCTGTGCCCTTTCCATCCTTCAGAAGGCACTTGTATTCCAAGAGGGTGAGAGTGGAAGCTGCGAGGCTACTTGAGGCCCAAGCTCAGAATCATGTCACTTAGCCACATTCTGTTTGACAAAGGAAATCACAAAGGTAGGGCAGGTTCAAGAAGTGGGGAAACAGACTCACCCTCTTGTGGAGAGGAACTGTAAAGAATCTGTGGCCATTTTAAATATACCATGGATTCCCAGCCTAAAGGCAACACAGGGAGCGGAAAGAACAGGGAGCTTTGCAAATTGACCTCCCTGTTTCCAAGCTGTGGCCTCACCCTGGCTGTGACTACTTCCTCCTGGGATTCCCTGCATCTCTCTCTGTGTTCTCAGCAGGATGTCAATACAGTCACTTTGCTACCTGCTAAGAAAGTAACTGAGCAGTGTTGGATCCCTTAGAATGCTTTTGCTCTATGAAACAAAATTTGCACTGAAGAAAGTTCTGAGGGAGTAAAACTTGAAGGGTAGTTCATTTAGCAGCTTAGCAATGTCATCCAAAGGCCAGAGTCCTTCCATCTTTCTGCTCTTCCATCCTTGCTCTATTTTCTTTGTCTTTGGTTAGCCCCCCTTGTATGTGGTACAAGGTGTCTGATACACTTTCAGGCATTATATAAAGATGTGACAATGTCTGGTTCCTTTTGATCATTTATGTATTTTTCAAGTGAAGGAACCTTCTCTGAAACCCTGCCAGCTGCGTTCTCCTTACATCACTGATTCCCAGTACTCTGCATGGTCTTGTCTGACAACAGTCAGTGGCAAGAGCAACGGGATTAACTGGTTGGCTTAAATTAGTCAGAACCATCCTGAGAATGGGCCCAGACTCCCCTGAAGCCCAAGATCAGGAGGAGGTGAGTGGATATAAATTGGGTTCTCTTGGGAAAGGGGAAGGGCAAGGCTGCTGGGGAGCAAATGGAACAGTGCTTACCACTGTGGCTTAGATCTGATATGTTTGGGGAATTTCCTTCGTCCTTGGGCACTGGAGGAATAATCTAGTCATGACGGAATTTCAGGTAACCTATTATGTACTTTGTAATGCAAAGCTCATACATATTGGAGTAAAGGAGCCTCTGTATAAACATAGCCTTTACATGGAAAAGCCAACAGGAAATGCCCTGTCTGGAAATGAGGCAGACTGAGAAGAAATCCTGCAACTCAGGTGGCAGCTGAAGACACGTTTCTTAGTGAAATAAAACTGACTCCAAATGGCACCCCATCCTACGACCTGTGGGAAATCCAAAGCACCCCCACCGCTCGTTCCCATCACTGATTTCTGTGAATTCTGTCCTGGACAGGGTGAAGGGGCTTATGGGTCATGGACATGCCTGGCTCTGGATCGTTGCTCCCTCTGAGCATCTTAGTCCTGTTTCCTTTGCTTTGATTTTTTTTCTCCCCTTCAGACCAGTCAGAAAAAGTTCTGTGTGTATGGAAGACTCAACCTAAGCTTTGGGAGCATGAAGAGGTATTTATATAAAGCAAAGTAAACACTTTAATATTCAACAGACATTCTTGTTCTTAAAATTACTTCATCTTCTAAGGAATATTTCAGGGGTCCCACTCCCAGGAGCCAGCCTCTGTCCTCATGCCTCAGCACCTCCACAATCTTTTGATTTTCCCCTGCCAAGTCCTGTTCATTCCACACAGAGCAGTTTAGCCTGTATTTTTTTTTTCTTTGTTTCATTGCAAGCCTACCCTTAAGATCCCAAGTATTTTCCCAAAGAAAGTTACCTCAAGAAGTGGGAGCAGAGGTGAGAAGAGCATCATGTGTAACAGAGACCGAGGGGAGGCTGAGTGGCCAAGCTGGCCATTTGTAAACAGTGGGAGATGAACTTTGATATGGGGTGTGATGGGGTAGTTACAAGGGAACTTTAGAAGCTTCATCTTGTAAGTAGCGAGAGCTTCTGAAGGACGATGCAAGTTCACAGTTCAGGCAGAACGGTTTGCCAGTGGTGTCTCGGAGGGCTCCAGCCTAAGCCAAGCTGTCCACCAGTGCTCATTCTCCCTTCCTTTCTTTTACTATGGGCTCCTGAGCTTTAGCTGGACACATGACCCCCCACCCGGAGACATGCCAGGCTCTCTGGCAGCTCTGTGTAATCATGTGTTTACACTCTGCCCAAAGGTATACTGTGGAAGTGGTGTATGCCCCTTTCAGGCTTCTATCACTTATCCAAAATGTGCCTCATTCTCCAGTGAAAGGAAACAGGGTTCCGTGGAAACGTAACTGATTCTAGGGCTGGGGCAGGAGAAGTACAAGATGGGCCTGACTGTCTTGCCATCCAGAAAGTAAGGAAATACTTTAAGAATAATGGAACTGTGTGAAAAGGACACAGGAACCAGCCAGAAGGTCTCTCCCTGGCCAAATATGGAACAATTTGAGCAAGAAAATAAGTAATGGCTCTCCCAGAAATATATACCATAGAATAAAAGGTAAGAATACATGAGTCAGTATAAATATAGATAAATAACATAATTAATTAATAAAATGGGAGGAGGGGAAGGAAATCTCTTCTTTATAGTAGAACTCCATCTAATTAACAGAAAGAGTGATGGAATTAGAAAAAGTGCAATCTGACAGCTACCATCGTAGTAACTGTTTCAGGCCAGAAGCAATAGTGGGGCTGAAAGTCCTGGGCAAAAGTACAGTATGAAGCAGAATATTTACATGATCTCAAAATATCTTCGTACAAGACTCTTATTCATTACAAAGGGGGTAGATACTTAAGGTGGAGACCTGGTAGACACCAGCTTAAACACGTGATCTAAGGTAACACCACCAACATTGGTACAGAAGATGGAGCAGAAGATGGATACCAAGGGCCTCCGATAAGATGCACCAAGGACGTGCAACTTCTGCACTATTCCTGCCCATCTGGTTATGAAGAAATATCAGACAAACCCTAACTGAGGAAATTCTGCAAAATAACTGACCTTTATTCTTCAAAAGTATCAGGGTCATGAAAGGCAAAGAAAGACTGAAGAATCTTCCCGGGTTAATGGAGACGCAAAAGGCAGGACAGTAAATGCAGTGAGTGATCCTGAGCCAGTCAGGTCCTGCATCAGTACAATTTTTCTTATGCTAAAGGACACTGGAAAAACAATGATGGAATTTGAGTGCAGTCTGTAAATTATACAGCAGTATTGTATCACTGTTAATTTCCATGTTTCGATCATTGTATCAAGGTTATTTAAGAATATCTCCCTGTTTGGGGGAAATACACATTGAAGTTATTTAGAGGTAAAGGGTAAAAGAGGTAAATCATGTCTTTAACTGACTCTCAAGTCTTTTAGAAAAGAAAATATATTGGAAGAATGAATGATAAAACAAATATGGTAACATGCTACCATTTACAGAAAGTGGTTGATGGTTATAGGGAGATTCTTTGTGATATTTTGCAATTTTCCTGCAAGTCTGAAATAATAGTAAAATAAAAAGGTTTTCTTTTTATGTTTTTAAGGAATGGGCAAGCAGTCTCCTTGCCCTCATTCCTTTATGCTTCCCACTGGCTGGGAGATGCCCCTAGAGAGTGGTGACCATGTGCTGTGAGTGGGGCATTGCCCTGCCAGCCCTGGACAGTCTTCTTCTACTGTTACATGAGAGAGAAATCATCTTCTGTCTTGTTGAGCTGCTGCATTGGGGTGGGGGGGGTGGTCTCTGCTACAGCTACATGTTCCACTCCTGATTAATACAGGCTGGTGGAAGGTGGTCTCTTCTGAGCCTGTTGCACTGGTTAAGTTAAACCTATTTAGGGTATGGAAGGTGGGATGATGGAAAGAGTGGGCAAAAACCACTCATTGGGGGAAGATTAGTGGAAGAAAATTAAGAATAGGACAGCAACTGGAGGGACAGCAAGGTCCTAGAAGCCTCCAGGGGGAAACTCCTATTTAAGAGAAAAAAGGCCTAAGGAAGAAGAGAAATATTTAGGGGATGGGGAACTTCTGGGGGCCCCTATTTCACACCACAGTGGTCACCTCTGTGTGTGTAGCTGGCCTCAATTTCAGGGCAGACAGCAAAACCATTTGTTGTTGTAAGTAAAAAATGATGAACCCATCTGATTGAGATGGAGATTATCAAAGACTGCTTCATGGGGTATACAGAAGGATCAAAAAATGATAATAATAATTACAATAAATGTGATAAGCTAACATTTATTGGATCCTCATTGTGTCCCTGGGACTTGTTGAAATTCCTTACATGTATCAGCTCATTTAATTCTCACCTCAACTCTATTATTCCTCTTTTAGAGATGAGTAAACTGAGGCACGAAGAGGTTAAGTCCAAGGCTTCATCTGTAAGTAGCAGACACAAGCTGCAGATACAGGCCGTCTGGCTCTGGATACAGCCTCAGGCCTCCAAAGGCAGCACTTGAACCCCTCTCTCTCCTGTCCTCTTCCTTCTCTTTATCCCCAACACCATCTGATGCCCACATAGGTGAGCTGAGCCATGTGGGCCCCTCCCATTGTGCTGTAGATCTGGATGGACTCCAGGTCAGTGTCAGGCCCACAGGGGAGGGCTGGAGTGTGGAGACAGCAGCGAGGGTCAGTGATGACCTATCGCGATAGCTCTGGCTCCTAGGAAGAATTAGGGTCTGTACATCGGATGGGGAAAGAGGAAGGGTTGCAGGAAATGGGCACCATTAGGCTTTCCTGGTGAGGGAGCTCTTCCTTAGCTGGGGTGGGGTGGGGGGGCCTCTTGCACCGGCTGTGGAACTGGATGCCCTGGGTCTGCTGTTCTTGCTCTCGGCCGTCCTCAGAGCCCTACCACTCAGAGCTGTGAGCTGATGGAGGGAGTGGGTGGGCTCATAGGAGACTCTGTCCCTGAGGGTCTCTGCTCATTTCTTTCTATGCCCAAGGCCTTTTCCTATTTTAAAAGTGGTGGGCAGTAAGTTTCAGAGTGCCCGAAACAGAAAAAAGAGAAAGAGACTTTAAAAACGCATACTTTCAAACCCTGAGACCCAGCTCCTGGCCAGAAGACATATGAAGTCTTTTAATAGCTTTACCCTGGATCCACTTAAATGGAAACAGCCTCTAGAATTTTTAGCTGCTGCATAACCAATGTAAAAAAGAAAGGGAAAATGTGTATTATTTTTTTCTTTCCTAGTTAGAATAAGAAGGACTTGTTCATTATCTTAACTGAGTCCCTGATGGGAAGAGAGGAAACCCTCACTGACTCCTCCCCTGGCCTGGACAGTATTTAACCCAGGGAGGGAAGCTGAGGAGCGGAGAGAAGGAGGCACAGACCAGCACCAAGGTCTACAAGCCCACGGGGCCCAGCTCCCAGGGGCAGAAGCATCAAAAGTGGTGCCCAGCAGCCTATAAGGTAAGCGCACCAGCCTCCAAAGGCTTTACCTGTGAGAGGGTGGGAGGTGGCCAGGTGGGAATGAGCTCAGGTGCCCCAGCTCTGGAGTCTGAAAATCCAGGCAGTGTAACTAGTCCCCTGTCTCCTCCATGAGGAGTGAAAACCCAGTTAGGAAATTCATCCCAGGACCCAACTAACATGTCCTTAGACAATAGTGCCGTCAGTTCCTCAAGGGGACTAAGTACATCTTACCTGGCCACATGTCCTGTGTTGTAAGGCAATTTCTACCTAGATTAATAGATTTTTATGGAAAATGTTTCCTTTAACTCTAACATGTCCTTCTCATCTTTATTTCTTTGTCAGCTTCTTTGCAATGTCAAAGGCTTCTCTTTTTTTGTAATTTATGTTATACCTCACTTTTTAAAAAATCTTTATTTTAGTGGTGATCAGGAAACTATCATAACTTTTCTCTTTCCTGGATTTTGTATATGCCAGTTAAGATGATGTTTGTAAATGCACTTGACGAGCTTTGAAGTTTATTCAAAAATTTAATTTTATTGGTTTTTTTATTTGTAAGAGGACAACATCTTTTGCCAAAATTCCCATGCTATTACCCTTACAATGCCTCAAAGAAAATATTTTGAGACATTTGAAGAAATGATGTGGTGGTCCAGTTTTTGGAAGCCTTTTTATTTCTCTATTTATTTTTGTGCTTGGGACACAGGTAGGGGAAGGAGAGAGAATGAGTGAGTACAGTCACTTAAAAGCATGAAACTTGAGTAGCTTATATGAACACTAAAAAAGAACAAGGAGTCACAGAAAAATAACAAAGTTCTTAGATCCAAACCTAGGTTAGCAACAGTGCCTCATGTCCACTGGTTCTTGGAAAAGCCAGGGTACCACGCAGGACTCAGGTGTCACTGGCTTAGCCAGCACTATAGGCTGGTGGCAGGCAGAGCACGGAATCTGCATGGAAAGAATGGGGGGGGGGGTGCTTGGCATTTAGGCATTTGTTGGAGGCTCAGAATCAAGGTGGGGGAGCTGGAGGCAGGAACTCAGGAAAGAATAGAGACCATCAATCAGTCGAAGTCAGTGTCATTTTTCCCAGGGCAGGGGGAAAAACTTACCTGACATTCTTTTGTATGACTTTGAATCGTGCTCTCTCCCCAAGTCTGTGGGCTGCAGCTGACTCCGGAGGGAGAGAAACTAGGACAGGATGACTTCACATCATCTTGTGGCTTCTGGTTTCCATTCCATCCCTGTTCTGTGGTTTGAAGTGTAGGGTAGACTGAGGTATGTTCCACCGAAGATGCCTGAGGAAATCGTGCCCAGACCCAGTGGAAACTCTCATCCACGCAGGGCCTTGGCTCCTGTGGGATCTGCATACAGACATGAGATCATGGTTCAGGTTCTGCAGCAGCATCTGGAGTCAGCAGCCTGCAAGCTGACTGTACTCAGATCTCAGCCTGATCCCTCGAAGGGCAGGGACTTCAGTCTTGCCGCCGCAGACTCACTGCTAATGCCAACCAGCCACCGGCTGGGTCTGAGGTGTTGGTCTCAAAGAGAGGCCCAGGGAGTGTGGGTGGAGCAGTCCAAGTCCTTGGAGATGAAAAGCCTCTCCTCTCTGATAGAAGGCTGGCACTTCAAAGTTATTTCAAAATGTGGCAAGCCACATGTTCAACTCAGGAAAAGAATTGTAACTTTTCCATCTTGAATTTCCCTTCATTATCATTCAACAGAAGCACAGTTTGTCATCAGATACCCTCATGCCCATGGGGACTGGGACTAATTGTATAGAAAGCAATACTTAGTCATTCTGGAGATTGGGGGTCTGGTTGGGTGCAGGGGAGGCAGGTCCCTGAATTTGTGCCCTTGTGCCCATTTGCTCTTCTGACTGTGCGTGAGCCTGTGCATTTCCATGAAAGCAAAAGGCAGGGCTTTTTGAGAGAAAGTGTCATCCCTGTGGGGTAAATGAGCATCTTTGCTTGATGTTCAGGAAGAGCTTCAAAAGTGCTGAGCACAGACAGAGCTGGTACATCACAAGTGGTTAGAATGTGGTAGCTACCAACCCACCCATCTGAGCCTCCACAAGGCGGATTAAGGTTTGGTGGGCAGGACAAAGCAGCCACACCAGCCTGTGGCCACCCATGAAAAGGCGATTGGGTACTGAGGCCAGGTTAGGGACGCCATCCTTCATCTTTTCCAGCTGATGGTGTCTGGCACCGCGGGGCGTGTCCTCCACAGGGTTTCTTGGGCTCTTGCTGGGTGTGTTCCACTGAGAAGAGTGAAGGACAAAATGATGCCTGGAAAGTGACCATGTTAAGTCTTATCACAAGAAACCAAGTTTCATTCCCACCCACACCCAGGTAACTCATATCCTATGCAGAGTGCCTGTGCAGAGAGCTCAGGGTCACAGACGCTAGAAATAAAAAGTTTGCATGTACCTGGTTTGACTGGAGCTTGGCCCAGAGGGAGCAGTCCTGCCCTGTGCGCCGTCCGGGCTTGCGCACTGCAGGAGGAAGGTGTGTGGAGCAGATCGGTCGCCTAGGGCTCATCGGTCGCCTAGGGCTCCAGGATGAGCTGAGCCAGGGGGAGTTCTCAGCCACCTGGGAGCTTGTTCTCCGGGACCAAGCACTTGGGTTAGAAGACCTCAGAGTCACCCAGGGCCCAAGCGGTTGATCACTGGCAGAATATCCCCAAGAGACCTTGGGGAAGGAGGGACATGTTTGCCGGGTGACATTTATGATGTTGACGTGTCCCTAGCCACACACCTCCCTCACTTTCCCTCATAGGTCAGTGATGTCCACCCTGTCATTCGGGGAAAGAATATCTTTTTAAGGGACTCCATGGAAATCCATGATAACAGGGTTTTTCTAAAACCCAAAGCAGTGTTCTCATTGGCTTGTGGTTAACTGTAAAGGCAGGATGAGGTAACGGGGACCAGAGAAAGCCTGGATGTAAGTAGAAAGATCTGTGATAGTGGCTAGAAATTGGCATATTTTATTCCTGACCAGGGTGTGTATCCTTCTCTGGAGAAAATGAAGTGACACAGAGACCATCAGCACTAGGCGAGGAAAGGACAGGAAAGGACCATCCGGAACCCAAGAGTCCATCCCTCCCTGGCCAAGCCTTGGTTGACAGCTGCCCCTGCAGACAGAAGTGTTGGTCTGCTTTGTGTTGCCTCCAGCTTCTCATGACCAGTGACCAGGATTTAACCTCCCTATGGGGGAAAAACTAATTTATCTTTCTCAGGGATCATCCTGGGCACTGCTCAGAGAGAATGGAGGCTCAGTTTTTAAGCAATTAATGTTTAACTGAGCACCCAGCGAGCCTTGGGTTTCCTTTATTTTCAGAACCCTTCTCTTAAATATGACAGCAACGAGGACATTTAGTCTCTGTCACATGTGGAAATCTCATTGGATTTTTCATTTGGGACAGTATATATTACAGACAAGGGAAGAACACAGACCCCGGGAATGGACAGACTTGGTGTTTGATCCCATCTCTGCTGCTTATTAGCTGTGTGTCCTTGGGCAAATTACTTAACCTCTCTAAGCACCAGTAACAAAAATGTTATCAATTGGCTCCCAGGATTTTGAGGATTAACTGAGAATAGTGTTTATAATGTGTTTGGTACAGTACCCATCAGCTAATACATACACACACGCTGTTATTATTTAAAACATAAAATATTACTTTGGTTAGGACTGTGTTGAAAGGCTGGGTTTACAAAAGGGATCAATACAGTCATGGCCACTGCCATCCTTGAGCTTACAGGGATGTCTGGGATGGGAATGCACAAACAGATTTGGGAGCTGGCAGTGTTTGGCTAGAAACCAAAGCCACAGGGGTAGAGTAGGGGGGGCCACCAGGAGAGAAGAGGTGGACTACACATGCAGGGCCCTCAACATCAGCATGTCTCCCAGGCAGAACTGGGGGATCATCTAT